TTTCGGCTTGTATATTTTATGCTAAAGCTCGTCTGTTACTTGCCACCTAAATCTAAAATGTTGTGTTAGGTCTCGCTGACTGTTTATCCTCACACCCACTTGCGTTTGCCCGAATCGGATCCAGACGGTCATGAGCGATGAATAAAAGTGCGAAACGATTCAATTCCTTTTATGTGAGTAACGAAGAATTCAGCTCAGTTTCAAAAGGGAAATTCGTCATGTATATGTCAAATGAAGCGTGAACTGAAAAGCTAGGAAGAACTGGACAGCTGTTTCGACCTGGTTGGGTCTCATCAGTAGTGTCAATTCAATAACCCAACTGGGGATTGAACCCGGGACCTTATGGGCAAAACGCAAGCGTGCTACNCCCAGTTGGGTCGATGGATTCGCAATGCTAATGAGACCCAACCAAGCCGAAATAGCTGTCCAGTGTTTCCTAGCTTTTCAGTTCACGCTTCACTTGACATAAACACGACGAATTTCCCCTTTGAGATTAAATACCTATTTGAGTGACGAGATTGGTTCCAGCATTCAATTTAGGGGACTAAGGGTATTCTATGGGGTTTGGAGGGGGGGGGGTCGAGAATACACGTGAGGTAGTCAGGGGCAAATCTACTATCGATCAAAACAGACCGAAGTAGATAGAAAAGGCTTGGTGTTCTGTTGTGTTATTGCGCCGACAGATGATCAATGCGTGACAAGATTTAGCATTTAATCAATGTGACTTTTGGAAATAACAAGGAGTGTAATGTTTGGCATGCAGAGTACACCAGAAAGCGAGCAGGGAACATGTATGTTGTTCTGGTGGTGGTGGTGTGAATAATGTGCGGCACGTTTGAGACGTTACACAGATTAGCTTTCATCAATTCTGTGAATCAACTGGATTCACCCATTGTCATTCCGTCGACCAATATGCAGTCACGTGACTCTCCTCAATGGTCTGATGGGTAAACTCTCTCAAATGATGCTCAGTAAGGGCCGAAAACCAAGGACTGTTTGAGTTAGAAAAACGGTTGGTCGGCTTTCCCATATTTAACAAAAATCAGTTTTGCCCTTTCAGGTTGGTGAATTAGTAGTGCATGCAGTTCTCTTTGTCCACAGACAAGACTCCCATTGTGACCGTCTGTGCAATCCCAGGCAGCCGGAGTTTGGTGTTAGCATAAATGATCCTAAATCGTTTTGTCGGGTCTTGACCGTGATTGGTCAACACACATGGAACGATGGGTGACGCAGATTGTTTTTTGTTCGGTGTTGTTGGGTGAGAGTGATGGTTGGTAATGGTGCAATGTGATGTAAGTGTTTTAGTGGTGGATGATGCCTGTATGTGGTTTTAGGGGCTGGACTTGTAGAATGACCTCGGATCATGTGACTTGTGTCGGTGGCTAATCCAAGATGGGACCTGGATCCGAGTATGCAACTGCGCATCTGTTTTTTCAATGTTAGGTGCTCCGCATACACATTTAAAGTGATTAATTACGTGTGATTTGGCGGACAGTGGCAGGGATTGCTTTGTGAGTGGAGTGGGGATTCGTGTGTGTGTGGTTGTGCACAGGATGACTGGGTTAGCAGCCTCATGTGTTTGATTACTTCAAGATCAAGATGATATCGTCGCTTCTGAAGGCAAGACAAATGTAGACCTTACGGGCATCATATACTGCTGGTTTCCGCTCCGATATCCGAAATTCCTAATCAAACTGCTCGAACGTCATTATTTGTAGCTGAGTGTGGTAAACAATGGCGTTCGTGCATCTTCTCGACTTCTTTGCAGCCTTAGTCAACCAAAATTCTCCATTTTATTTTTGACTCTACTTTCCTGTCTTTCTCCTACTGTTTCATCCGAATAGGCAGCCAAAAGACGGCAACCAAAACCAGCGTACGAAAGTGCATAGTGAATGGTTATATAAACTGATACTGAAACTGTACACCATGTAACGGTATACACTAGGTGTTTGTAAACTTTCATCTAAAGAAAACATCTAGTTCCACTTTGCCGTCTCTATTGGTTGATTACGTCGGCCACTAAAAGTAAAATAACTCGCTTCGTTGGCGGTTTACACACAAACAGGGGTGATCCTAGCTTACGGGATTACGCAAACCTCGGGGGGACACGTTATAGTTTCCGGACAACTGTGCTGAGTCAAGCTTCCCAGATGACGCCACTAAAATTTTTACGCGTTGCAGCTTCTGGACAATGAACCATAGGCCGATTGTGCCGGCCAATCAGAAACCGTGTGGCCCAGACAGAAGCTGTACGACGCCAAGAATACGAGCATGTGATTGGTAGAAGTCTGGATAACTAATAAACTTCGCTTGTACAGGTTACTTAAACCCCATGATTTCTTTCAATAAATGAACTGCTCTTGTGATCTTTTCCTTGCGGCTCGGTTACGTGGGATACCGTTGTACAAGTGCCAGTGTGATTCAGCGCTTCCGTGGCACCCGTGTTTCCTAATACGTGATTTGTAATCTGTGACCTGTGCGCACTTCAATCATTACACACACAATGTTATTCCTAAAACTTCCATGCATACACCTTAGAGGGAGAGTATACGCATTTGTCCCCTGAGTCTCAAAGGTGTGAGAGAAGAGAATTACTTTAGCCTGTTCGATTTGAACTTTGACATTGATCTGCTAATAATAACTGCTGTTACATTTAGCTTGCGTATGATTTTATTCAATGGTGAAAATTTTTAACCTACCTATATGGATGACGTCTATGTCTCCGTGTTTGGTTTCGAAACATTCGGTTTCCAAACCGAGTGCAATGTCACGTAAAGTTTGGTCTATACAACATCGATGTTAATTGAAGTGATCTAAGTGGTCTAAGCGGTATGCCACTCAAACCACAACAAGTCATCTGGTATTTGTGTGTGTGTGTGTTACATTAGCTCCGAGAGCAAAAAAACAGGACACTGATTATGAACAAACGAGAGAGAAGGTATAGTTTAAGCAAAGCATTAGGAGTTTGTTTGGACTTCTATGGTATTCGGAATAGGAACCGGAATCGAATAGCGTGAACTCGGATTCAGACTGAAAACCCACTGAATAGTGATAAGTTAGACAGAACCAAGACGAGCTGCGAATATAGTTAATTCTATTCAGAAAATCATGCATTCCATCAAACAATCATTGACCGATTCTTCAATGTCCAATCCACAACTATATGGTTCATTTGTGTGCCTTCTTGCATTCAGCCAGTTGAGACCATAGGATTGGTCGGTAAATCCGTTTCTTGATTGGTTACCTGGAAGCTGTATCGTGGTGTGTGCGTACTCGTTCACGATCACCACAATTTCGCAGAAGTGAGCAGCCTGATCTATTCCTGAGTTGTTAGCAATGATGATGATGATGATGACGATCTAGCCGGTTCGAGGGAATGTACTTCTGAATCTTCAGAATGAAGTTATAACACCTTCACACACACACACACACTAAAATCTTCGCTATTTGTTGGTTCTATTTTCGCTCATGCGATTCCCGTGGCAAAAAAGATTATCCAACCCGAACAGTTCCCTAGAATTTCGAGAGATGTTCGTTTAGAAATAGGCAAAACTCCGAGTCCATTGGCTTTCACTATCATCAAAAAGATCAATGAAACGTTGGAACTATGCACACATCGATCAATCTATTGTTATTGATCAAACTCGTAAAGCACCCTGACTTTCGGCAGATTTAGGAAGGTGTAGTCGAAGGACAGTCAGTTCAAATCGATTTTCCTGAACTATCAAATAGAGTAAAGTAAGAGTAATCATGCTTATATATCTTCAATAAAACAAATGAAAATTGGGGAAATTGTCCTGTAAAAGTTTTGTTCAATCGAGTGGATGCTTTTATGCTATTATACATACG